AAACGATGACGCGGAACTATATACTTGTACATACAATACACGATTTAGTGATAACGGGGTTTTACTTTTAACAGCTTTATGTGATTATTACTTTGTCATGAATCAGTGAAATAAATAAATGATGATAATACTTTAGCTGACTGGTTGTTTCCTCACCTTCCCCTAAGGCCGTTCCGTGCGAATTATGGACAACGTTGCGAGATCGTTTGTTCAGTTTTGTTTGGTCTTTGGCAACGGAAGTGTTTCAGTTCCATTTGAAGCCGCGCGAATCGTGCTGATCAAAAGTGCTGATCATCGGTTCTCAATAGGATTATTGCTCATCAATGTGAATGAGTTACAGCTGCAGTATGTGCTAATTAGAGCCACGGGGAATAGAGTTTCAGCTGACTATGAGGTTACAAATCCCAGTGACGCTCGACTGGATTATCCTAGTGGCCATGCCGCCGAGTACTATTAATAACCAATTAGAAATGACCAACGCATGATCATGTAATTCGGTTAGTTGTGAACCGACCGAAGCCCGGACACAATTTAAGCGCGCACGGTAGAAAACTTACGTGCGCGGCTAGTTTCAGCGATAGTTGGCTACCGCGTATAATTTCCCAAGGTCTGTCTGAATGTAAAAAATATATGATAGGTCTGTTATTAATTTACATTAGAGACTTTGAAATCACGTAGGATTAAAGTGAGCTACATTCCTTTAAAAGATGAAAAATCACGTAGGATTATGTTATCAGTATTTAGCCAAAGAATTTAGATGTGATTTATTATCGAACTAACGGTTGCTAAAAAAGAACGTTCTCGTAATTAGACGCTCCTTGAAGTCTTATCTCTAAGCACATAGAGATAACTATTTAAATAAAGGGAAGCGTATATAAATATCATAACTCGAAGGTTTTGTCGTTAAAAATTGAAGTGAACTCGAAGAAAGAACATCAACGTAGAAAATGTTTCGGTTGTTTGTTACACTTTTGTTCTGCAGTGCGTTAGTGGTTTTCTGTAAGTTCTCAAAGAATCATATAACGAATACCGATTGTTCTGTAAAATTCATTCTGTCGTAAATAAAAAGATTTAATTTCAAATGTTGGAAGATTGTTTCTAATTGTTCTTCGAACATAACGTCTTTCACGATCGATTTAACAATTTCATTTAACTTAAAGCTCAGCCAAATGTATTTTGAAACGGTACTACGTATTAATAATATTGAGCGACAGTCTTTATCTTGATCAATTCACGGAATTATTGAATAGGCACTGCTGATAACGGTTGTCCTCCGAATGAAATAAGGTGGTGCTCAACACTATGCGAGCCGAGTTGTGCAATTCCAGAACCTAGAAAAGTTGGGTGCATAAGCGAATTGGTAAGTATATTTTTGACAAAACAGCGGATCTTCGTGTAAAATAAAAATTGTTGGAAATGATCTAAACAGACAGATGTCATATAAAGCGCAACTTTCATTTTTAAACATTTTGATAAACTGTAAACAAATTAAAAGCTAAGCATTCTTAAATTGTTGCCAACGTTCCTCTATTTCATACTTTATGCACTCGTAAATGCCACAAGTGCGTAAAGTCCAGAATCTATACATGATATTCAATCATGCTGAAACTATAGTGGGAACGCGTGAGTTTTTCTCAGGTATGTAGACCAGAAGGCATACAAAATGGTCCCTGTCGATGTGCGGATGGCTACGTTCGAGACAACGAAGGTTCTTGCATCGACCTTGGCGAATGTCCGGATTCATTTAATTTGTAACGTTAATATTTCTCTTCAAATACGATAAAATATTATATATATAAACCAATGTGTCACTAATAAATGCATTCGAAATAAACCGGACTGATTTTAATTCGCAGCCTTGACCGATTGAAGCGACAATATTAAGTGAAAATCAAAACGCTCTTACACGTAACCAACAGGAATCATTCTCTTAGCGTGAATATTAATAAAGGAAAAAAAATAAAGAAAACTCCTCAAAATTAATTAATAAATCCACATGAGAATGACAGGTTCCACTTTCTTATTCCGCAGTTATCGAAATCTTGAAAGCGGTAAATATCTGAAATGACTTGAAAAATACCTTCATTTCAACAGTACAATAAATATATATTATAAATATTCATAGAAGCGTACAAGTAATAACTCATAAATGTTCAATACAATCAACATATAAAGAAACCGAAAGAAAACTACTGTTACAATTTTTATAAGGATCACATATTAACCTTTTGCACTCGAGAGGTGAGTCACCGTTAGCTTTGATACAAGAAAATTATAAAGTTTTATATACAATATTAACCTTTGTGCGATACATCAATATGTGAAATATTGAAATGAAATAGCTACGGTCCTTAATTTACGTATGTTTTTTCATTAGTTAGCTTTGTCTGTATCTCACAACAAAATATTGACTATTTCTAATGAAAGACTTTCGAGTGCAAAGGGTTAATCGTGTGAAACGCTCGATTGTTCTAGCGTTAAGTAACACGAATCTCTTCTTACGCCTCCCAAGAAGACAGCCGGACCTCTCGCAGCCCGACGGGTACGCTGTTGGTCCTCTAGGGGGGTGTCGAGGCCGCGTGCCCGGCCGGTCGAAAAACGCTTCTGGTTTTTCCCGCGGACCGTCGTATTTCTGACGGAGATTCGAAAATACCGTGAATCCTCTCTGTGACACGGCGGCAACGCGGGTGGAAGGGGAAATGTTCGCCGTCGACGACACCGTAGGTGTCAGTGGCGGTAGGCGGCGGCGGAGGAAGAGCAAGAGGCGGCGGAGGCGGGCGAAGAGTCGGCCGGGAGCGAGACGGAAAATTAGAGACTGAACCAGTCGCCCTCGTGCTTTTCGTTTCCCCGTCATTCAAACCGCGCTCCAGACAAACTCCGACGGCAGATGTCTGGCGCCGCGACCCGATTGTCGTGTCGTTAGCGGAATTCTCGCGGGATCTTCACAGTGCGTCCCGTTCCGCGTCTCCTGGAAAGTGATCGCGCAGCTTCCACCGATCCTCTTCAAGGTCGGCGGATATTTCAAGATTCCCAACGATCGGTTCGCCCGCAACGCGCAACAGTTCCATTCGAATTACTTCTATCGAGTAATTTCAAGAGAATTCCTCGTTGACGAGAACTGGACAATGCTTAGAGGCATCAATCGGAAAGTCGTTGGTCGGTTGAATCGCTTCCGCCGACATTTTTCCGCGGTATCGGCGTGAATAAGGTGTGACCGTGTGCCTCTTCGGTGATCGGAATACGGATTCAGTGAGGACTCGAAAAACGAATCGAATCCTATTGTTCTGTTTGTCGATAGAATAGAGAACAAATTTTTAGAGAGTTTGCTCGAGGGTGCGAGATGGTTCGGTGTTTTCGAGACATTGCCTCAGTGTTCCATTGACAACGGCCACGTGGATTTGAATGGAGTGCCGAGGAAAAGGCGGCCGTGGGGAGCGTGAAACTTCAAGGGACTCGAAGGAACGTCCTCGAACCGCGGTTTTGTTGCCGGAAGAGTAAAGGAGGATCATTGTAGTAGGTTCGGCCGGGATTCGTCAGTGATCCGAAACTCGCGGCCGGAGCGCGTCGTTCCTTTCCTCGCGTTCTCCAGTTTCTCCGGGGCTGAACGTGGTCCGGCGCTATTATTGCAGTGCCGCCTAAATATAGGTGAGAGCGCACGCTTGACGCAAATCGAAAACACCACCTATAAACGCGCGTTCGACTTTTTTCTTTGGACATCGACGACGCGTCCCGCGCATTTCAACGACGCTTCCGTTTCACTTTCGAGACCAGTGGCCCCGGTTACCATCGGCGCCATGAAGGGACCCGTGTGCTGGATCTTGCTCTCTGTTTGCATCATCGGTGAGTGAATCGTTTGTTTATATGCGAGCTCCGCGGTGAGAAAATGGTCGATCGATTTGGGTCGCTGTTTTTAGCGATCGTGTACCGAAGAAGCTTCGGAACGCTTAGTACTGGATATAGTGAATCGAATACGAATATCGTATTATATATGATTTTGGGTGAATTACTTTGACAGTTGTGTCAAGGTAGGAATTTTATTATTATTACTAAAAGAAACTCTGATAAATAGCAACATGATGAGTTGAAACGTTATTATAATATAGTAAAGAAAGTGAGAGTAAATGGAAAACTCGTTGCACATACAAAATATACGGTACATTCAGATAAATGTATTCGGCAATTCTCATACATGAGGTATAAATAAAAATACGATGAATGTAAAAGTTCCTAAAAGGTTTCTAAATGAAAAGAACCGCGATCCTCGTGATTATCAATGGAGTACATCTCGTTTCTGTACAGAATCGGGTTAAGACTCTTTTAATTAAAGAACACAACATATCCCCGGTTTTTGAACACTTTTCTAAGCTACGTTTAAAGAGGGAATGACCCGTTGAAACTGTTTTCAATGACCCGCTTTCAAACGCGATATTCGCGTCATATTATTTAAGAAACACTGAACACAAAAATATTTTCCAAGGAACCACTTACAAACGAGGATTTCACCCGAAAAATATAAAATCGTTACGATCAAACGAAAACTCTATTAAAATTACAAGTACTAATAAACAGTGATAACCCTTAGTTTAATTCCTTCAATTAAATCGTCGAAGTAAAATTATTGAAACTGCAGACGTAAGATCGATGAGCCCGCCCACGCATTCGCTTGAACGAGTTCGCATAAAACTGGTTATACGCTCGCGTAAATTCCGCCAAGTAATTCCACGAGCGAACGACGAGACAGCTGACTGTAGGCGAACATTATCGCACGGTAATCGTCGGCCGTAATAAATGTCGGTAAACTCAGCCTAAGATCCGTCAATCGGACAAATGTAATTCCGTCGGCAAATATTGACGTCGAGCCAAGCGGACGTAACGTAAGGCCCGCGGCTCGGTCGGCCTCTTTGGACAGCGGACGGACGAAAACGGAAGTTCTGGCGCGCGCATGAAAATAAACGCGGCCCAGGGTTGTTTCACCGGCCCGGTTCGACGAACCAGCGATATTCGCACGACGCAGTCGAGAATTTGCCGTTCAACTTTAATCCGAATCGTTCTCCGAGAAAACGACGATTTCTGACCTCGCCTCGCGCAGAGAATTGCCTCGATTCAGACAGAAATCAGCGTTCACTGCTAAAATTAGATAACACCGCAACTTCGAGGTGTACCCAGGTTATCGCGTCGCGGCGAATGCGCGAGCGATCCATGTTAATCCCTCGACGGATCCCTTATGTTTTGCGTATATACCGATAATGGAAATTGTTGGTCGTTTCAAAGATCATTGTCGTATCCAACAACGCGATTTTCGTGATACTGCGCTGAGGACATTAAGTATTTCTCTCTCTCTCTCTCTCTCTCTTTGAATATTCTTTAAATGAAGTTCTATAATCCAAATTTTTGTCTATTTAAGACTAGGGTTGCTTGAAAGATAATTTGAAAGATAAGCAAAGATTCTTTGAAGGTATAGATAGCATTGTTAAGGTCTTAGCTTATAACCAATACAAGTTTCAATTTTTATTGTATTTTCGTATGATTAGTCTTTTTGGCTAGGTACTACATTAGTCTCAAATGAATTAAAGTTCACGTGAAAGAAGAAACAAAGACGATTGCCACCGGTGACCAAGAATTCAAATGTCCTCAGAAAATTACTTGAACGCTAGAGTTTGAAACCTGCGAATAGAGAAATTCAGTAAGTGTCCCAGAATGCGTTCAGAAGTTCAGAAAATCGTGAGGGACGATAGAGCAGGAGCTTTTCCACCTGAAACTGCGGGACTGGCGAAACGCCGGATTAAACTGTGCTCCGGTGAAACTCGATTCTCACGCGAGCGTCCTTCCGGTGGTTGGTTTATCTGCTGTCCCGTGGTAACCGCGTCTTGTCGCGTTTTTATTTCTACCTGGCTGCTCGCGAGGATTTTCGAACGGCGCGATATCGCTCCCGGGAATCGTAAAACACCGATTTAACAGGCCGCGGGAACTTGTCGACGTAAATTCATTGGCTCCCGGCCGCGAACGACCGGCAACTTCCGCGTGAGCCCTTCCGGAATCGAATTTTTTCTCATCTATACTGGGAACCGTTTTAACGCTCCGCGTCCACTTCCGCTTTTCGCGTGCTTTGTTTTTGTTATACCCCGTAGCTTTTTCGCCGCGGGTAACGTCAATGGTCTTTTTATCAAGGTTTATTCGTCTGGACTTCTTGCATTCCGAATCTGATGGATTTATAGAATTTATTACTGGTATTTCGCGGTTTTCGCTTGTCCAACGTGAAATTTATTAGGAAAGATCGCTTGTAGGATCTTTTGAAGTGTCTTCCAATGCTCGATATCGAAGTAACGTAAAAACGGTAATGATCTTTGGTTTAATAGATAGAACACACTCGAGAATTAGATAACATTGAATCAAGATTGAATCAACATTGCTCGACGGATAATTATGTTTCTTTCCTTTTATATCAAAGTCTGAAGGTCCGAGTTTTTATCGCGTTCGAATATCAAAATGCGCGAGTTAAGATGCGAAAAAGGCGATTGTCCAGCTAATAATGATAGGAATTGTCGTTCAAGTGCGCAGTTTCGGAGATCGATTACACGTGTCTCGATCAGATTATATCTCGGCCCAGCTGACATTGTAAAATTGCACCGTTTGCCGCTTCTGCGAATGTTCCGCGCGAATCACGCGTAGAGTTGCCCCTCGTCATTCGTCATACTTAGTGCGGCTGCACGCATGTCATTTTTTAATAACGATAAAAACGCGGCAAGTGTTTAACTACAGGCACGTTTCACACCGCGGCGGTACGTCAAGGGGCTCGGCTAACGCGTTGCGTCGAATCGCGAACGAAATTCTTTTTATTGTTAACTTCCTTTCGGGGAACGTGTAATTTCTTTGGACTCGGAATTCGATAATTACATAGCAACGGTAATAAATTGTTAAAGTGTAAACATCTGAAGAGATTTAGTACAGTTCACTCTTTGAGTCAAAATTTTCCCTGAGTCAAGTAAAGAATTAACGGTTGAATCTGGAAAACATTAACGATGACAATTTTGGAGATATGAATATTATTCAGCTCTCACCGATTCGACGAAACTTCCGAAATATTTGAGTACTGCAATAACGAACTGGAGAATAATTTCGAGACGATAGATTGGTTCTTGTATTTCAATAGTGAAGTAAAATTATATTTGCTAGTAAGGACTCTATGACTCCATTTCCCCGGATACGTCCGACATTTCTGTTTCGTGTCATCCGCGGACAGCTAGGATTAGACAGGTCGGTTGCTGGGGATGAAGATAGCAGACATCTGTCTTTTATGACAGCCGTCATTTGTTCGATAGCCACGGAAGTGATAAAACAACAATATCACGAAACTAAGTGACGTGATCATAACAGATTATCTGAGCAACGTCAAAGATAGCTGGGGAGTACTGGGACCCTCTATGACGGTCAGAGAGGATGTAAAATTGAACTTAACTGGCTAATAACCTCCGGCCATGTGCACTCTATAGACGAACTTCAGACAGGTTGCATCGAATTCACCGTGACATCTGCAACTGGGTTGCAGAAAATTTTCGATTCGAAAATAATCGCGTTGCTTCTAGATGCTGGCAACCGCAGTTTCCCTTTCGCCCTGTACGCACAAGGGTCCATTTCTGCTATGCTCCGTTCGATCTGTACTTTTTCTTCATTTCCAGTGAATGAAATCATTCACTGCTTGATTATAGAGATTCGAACGAATCATTTAGTACACTTTGATGGCAGGAAGCTGAAGCAATGGGCCAACGTATAATTACCGTTCGAAGATCACCGAAAGAATGCCGCGTTCCGAGAGAAAATAAACAGCAAGGAAATAGAATTTTTATTTAAGAGTGATTGGTACCCTATTTAATAATTGGCCAGCTGCACGAAACAGGTGCTCCACGTCGCCTCGGAAACATGTTCTTGCTTTATTACTAGCTACTCATTTTAATGAAATATTACGTGAACGCGGGGACCATTATAATCCCGTGCCGGCTGCTTCATAACTTTCCCCTTTATAATTAAATGTAACCAAAACTTAAGACATATTGTGGTAAGAGTGTAACTCCTTGGAAACAAGGATTCTGCCGTGGAACATATCGTTCGAAACCTGATTCGTAAAATGATACTATCATTACAGGTAATAATACTGATTCTTTTATCCGTTTTTAAATATGATTCGCGGAAAACGTTTTCGAAGGATTTCGATTACTCGTTTCTTGGAAGTAATGGTGAAACAAAATTTTTAGAAACGAGTTCTCTCAATTTTATGAGACAAATTAAGATGTCTCATATTCACCGCTTAATTCGTCGCATTTATACAAAATAAAATGTTTCATAAATTAAATAGATATATTTTTACCGTTGTCTCGCTCCACATTGGCAGATAGCGCATTCAAGGGAACATTTTTCGTGTTTTTCGGAGAACACGCGTGACCACGCGCTTAAATATAAAACCACAAGTTAATGATGCGCCACGGGTTTTTGGAAAATCTGCCTCTGCGAAATTCGTTCTCGCGTTCGGTGTTCTTAATTTAAAAATGACCTAACGCCTTATGCGATCGGCGGTTGATACTGTTGAAATAAATCTTCGGCGATGAGCTGTTGACAGTCGCCCACAAGTTGTCGTATTGAAGTCTAAAATTAAGCGAAACAAATCATTTTTATTTACATCAGATTTCTACGAACTATTTCCCGAGTTCATAAATGTTTCCAAATTTCACAATTTTTATTTTCATTTCAACGTGATTTAATATACAATTAAAAATTCTTGATTGAGTGGTCAAAGTTATTTTAATCCATATTAAAATTTTCATTGCACATAACTTTCAGAAAAGAAT